GCATGGCTCTTCTTTCTATATCTACTCTTTTACCTACAAAATTCTCTTGTATAATATTAAGTACATTATCCATTTATCTTAGTTAAAGCAAATGTCAAACTTTACATGAACAAATCCCAAATAGTCATCACTCTTCCATATAGAATTCATATCATATACATGCCTGAAACGATTTAAATGATGGATATATATGTATATATCTTAACTACATGTGTTTTTTATTCTATCAACTAGGGAAATCCAAATGGAATAAGAAAGAGAAAGAAACAATAATGATCCCCATTTTACAAATAATCAAATTACGAAGTACTAACTGAAGTACAGTTTTCCCAAAAATAAACTATACAGAATAGGGACCGTTTTGTGGAGGTGACAACTATTTCATTTGTTTCTTTTCTTCTTGTTGGCAAGAAAACCAGTCTAGGAGCAACACGTTTAGGCATGAAAGTAGAATAAAAGAGTTTTTTTAGGGGAAAAAAAAAACAAGGCACCAAGAAGAACCTTGAGTGAGCTTGTGAGAAATACATTTTAAATTTAAAACACAAGTAGCCCATTATCACTACTGAAGGTAAAAGTACATATTTATACATATGTATATATATATATATATATGCTAGAATGGTCATTCTGTACCCACGTTCTTTTTAAAGAAGAAAGAAATGGGTATGTATCTAACTTCTGTTATTTTCATGGAAAAGGCTCATGCCATAATGGGTTTGGTAAGCGGCAACTGGTTACTATTTAATAATCCCTTTTCCAGTCGGTAATCAAATTTCCTTTCTAAAATATTGTAATTACAAGTAGATTAACTTACTGGTCTGTTTTAATCGATATTGTAGCATTTATTTATTTGATTTTTAATTATTTACTGCTTATAAGTTTTATGTCAGTGTTAATATTCATAATATAATCCATATACTAATCCTTATTTTAAATTTATTTTGGTTAAATCTTAAAAAGTAACATAAAATTCTTTTTATTAAGAAATTTAAGGAGATTTAATAGTATTTAGGTCGATAGCATTAAAGTTTGAAAGAAAAATATAATAAATTTTATTAAAATTATAATCGGATTTATTGTATATCTAATATAAATATAAAAACATTTTAAATTGGTAAAATTTTATACAATTATCGTTATATTTTATTTTTAAAATTTATATATTATTTTAGTTTCAGAAAATTATACCATTTTATGAAAATTATTCTGAAACACTCTTCACTGTTGAAATTAATAAAATTGTTTTTTTTTTTTTTTCCTTTTTCTAAAGTAGAACTTATTCACTAATTATAATTATAAAATAATCATGATTGAATAAGACTAACAATATCGTAAATTTGTTCATATAATAATTATTTATGACATGTTCTTATTTTAGATAGTGAGTTAGAGGTATGGTCGATATACCTCCTACCAATTATATATATGTATGTATATATATAAATATAATTAGAAGTTTTATGAATGAAGGTCCTCTCATCGTTTGAATGGTCAACAAAGAATTTGAAAGCAAAATTGATTCAAACGTGTATTCCATCTTGACGCCTCATCTCATCCCCATTTCAGAATTTTCAACTAAACAACTCTGACACCAAACAATGTGAAATGTTTTGAATCCTCAATTATAATTAACAATTTTATTAGTCCCTTCCAATATAATATATAATATATAAATATATATTAAGTTTATATATGTTATACGAGATTAAAATATATATTAATAATAGTTATGGTATAAAATGAAAAGATTAATTGTCAATTACATAGATTTGCTAGGATTATTATACTGTTATCAGTATATAAGTATTATTTAATTATTAAAATATTACATAAAAAATAATTGTAATAGTCGGAAATAGCAAAAAACCAAAAGTTGGAAATATAAAAACTTAGTTGATTTGATTGGCTGGCTTGCCTTTTCCCTTGATGTATGAATTCTTAGTGGACCAGCGTAAGTTAGCATCCAATAATACATGCTAGGCAACAAAATCCCAGTATCGTTTATAACGAATATATATATATATATATATATATATATAAAAGAATAAGGAGAAAAACCCACATTTTCAAATCTAAAAGGGAGCTTGAGTCCGTTGTTCTTCAGTTCTATTTGCCCCGTTCGACTTACTTTAGACCTCTTTCTAACGTCATCTATCGATTTCTTTCTCTTGCCAAATACTCTTCTTTGCTTATCTCAAAAGGGTATTTCTCTGAATTCCTTGTCGGAGCTCATCGTGATCTCTGTGATTCCAAGTATACCTTTTTTTCCTTCTATGTATATATGTGAGTGTTCTCTGTTGTTCGGAAGAAGCTGCTGAGCTTTTTGCCTTAATGGGTTCAAGGTGATTCCTCTAAAAACTTTTCTTTTGTGCTTTTGGGTTTATTCTCACTTTTTATGGTCTTTCGGACTTTAATCCGATCACTCTCTCCTGTTCGTCAACTGGGTAATTATTTATTTTTTGATAAATTTTCTTTTTCTATGTATATGTATGTATGTATTATTATGGTGAGAAGTTTTGAATTCTGGTGGGGTGGCGATGGCGATTTATGGTTTGATTCATTTATTGGCGGATCATAACATAATTTAAAATGACGAGGAACTTTCATCAATAACTTTCTCTTTTTGCCTTCAGTAAAAAAGGAAACTTTCTTTGTTGTTCTCGTTGCTGTTCTTTTTCTTTTTTTTTTTTTTCCCATGTATATGTGTGTGTGTATATATATATAATTGAATTTTGCTAGAGCAGTATCATCTCTTTTTCTGAAACCCAGTTTATAAACAGAACTCTGAATTTTTAAACTGCAGTCTAGATTCCGGCTTTTGATTACTCTTTTATATTCTCAAATTTTGATATTTTTTTTTTTTAAATTTAACGGTTTATAAAATCCTTGGACAAGAAAGCACGTGTTAGCCTTGATACCACCAGCGCACTAACTGATCCATGATAGAAAATCTAATGATAATATGTTGTTGATTCATTTTTTTTCTTTGATAGTTTCTCTTTTATCTCACCGGTCTCTGTTGTTAGTGTAAATCTGGGTGGCTACAGATTGTCAGATAGTATTCTTTTTTATGATATTATTTGCACCCTTTCTGCAGTCAAATTGATAAAAAAGAAAAAGAAGAAAGCTTTAGGCTTCAACAAAAGATTTGTATTCCTTTTAATGAAAATTTATCATCTATTATAACTGTTCGTTGTTTTTGCTGTTCTGCTTTCAGCATGCTTATGCTATGAGATATTTTCTTCCAAGTTTCTGTTATCCAGTTTTCGATGCTGGGATAAAACTTAATTTTGGAACAATTATTTTCCCGACTTCTCATACAATGGGTTTTTAAGGAATAAGTTTCTAGATTGGAGAAGTTACATGGACCAGTCTGGTAGAGGACGAAGAAAGATTTATTGATGGATGAATGAGGCCCAGTTGATGGTTAGTGTTGAGACGGGCAGGATCAATGGTTTAATGAAGTAGAAACTCAGGACTTGGAAGTTCATGGTGATGATCAATCAAACAAGAAGGCGTGATAGCATGTCATGAAGTGATGGGGTGTTAACCTTAAGGAACATTGTTAGAAGGATTGGAAATTTCAGCACTTCTGTAGAAAGAAAAATCAAAAAAGAAAGTAAGGCAGCATCAATAAGAAACATTGAGATATCTGGGAACAAATTATTAACTTTCTTGACAGGAAGGTTCCATTTCTGATCCACAGTTGTCATATATTATTGGATTAACTATTTTCTTCTGCTAGATTGTTAATTGTGATAACCATGCCCTCCTTCCAATTCCAAAAGACCACTTTCTGTGTCATAATTCATGGTAACCTGTGATTAGATTGTTTTCATGCACGTCAGATCTAAAGGTTGGTCAACAGGCATCTGAAGTAGTGTTTATTTGTTTTTCTTTTTCATTTAATATGTGATTATGTTCTTTCCATCATTGAACTTGCCTTTTAAAAGTTCTACC